CCCCCGCGCCCGAGGCGCCCGGGCGGCCAGGGCGGCGGGCGCCGGGTCCCACCCTTCCTCCTGCACCGAAATGCTGGTCCGGACGCCGCCGCCGGGCAGGCTGCCGGGCAGGCCAGACACGCAGCCCTACGTCTCCTGCCGCATAAATATGGGAGACCCCGTGTACAGTTCTACCCCAAGTCCGGAACTACTACGTCTGTCTACCCGGTACTCTAAGGGCTACGGCGGGGGGGCGCACGCGGGGCTCGGGGGCGAGGCGCCGGAATGTCGGGGCTCAGTCCTCCTCGCTGCCACTTCCTGAGCGGTCCTGCGGGGGACAGAGGGACAGCATGAGGCCCTGCCCTGATGGGGGCGAGGGCTCGCGACCCCAGTGTGGGCAAATCGGACAGGACCCTGACCCGGCAAGACGTCAGCTCCGGATGTCGTCGGGGCCTCGGCAGCAGCAGAAGCGCCCGGCGAGGGCTCATGGCTACACCCGGGCGACGTGAGCCTCACTCTCGCCCCACAGCGAGTCCCAGGAAAGGGCATTTTATGAAAAAAGGACTGGAGGGTCAGCAGGTGGGGTCACGGTTCCGTGGCTGGACTCTCCCACGCACTCAAGTGTGGTCTGAGTCCCGGACCCGGAACCGTGGGTGCAATGCCGGGTGCGTGTGCGAGTGCACCCCAAAATCTGAGGAGACTGGAGGAGAAGGGATCGTGGCGCGGCCACCCCCTTGGGGGCGATTTCTCACTTTTGTGCTGTCTCTCTCTCCAAAGAGAACTTGTGCCCTATGGAAAAAACTAAAAAAAGAGAAAAAATCCAAAAAACAAACAGCCTGCTTAGGCCAGATGCCAGGGGCCCTGGGCACTGCGTGCCGTCATGCGGGGTCGTCACGCGGGCTCGGGTCCCACCCATAGAGGGGTGCTGGAGCATCCGCCCTCCCGGGGCCCACCCCCACCCCAGCGCCCTGGGGTCCCACCTCCTCCTGCTCCTCCTCGCTGTCGTCGTCGCTCACGACGGGCTTGGCCCGGGACCCCCGGCTCGGCCGCCGCCGGCCCCCCTTCAGCCGGTCCTGGGCCTTCTCCTTCCGGCCAAGCTTGATCTTCACCTTGACGGAGCGGGCTGAGGGGGGAGGAAGCCGTGAGCTCCGGGCACCCGGGCCTGGGACGTGCGCCCGCTCGCCCTCCCCCTCCCCCGGGACTCACACTCAGACTCGGAGCCCTCCTCCTCGCCCTCCTCCTCCTCCTCGCTCTCCTCGCCCTCGCTGTCGTCCTCCTTCTCGATTTTCTGCCTCACGCTGGTGAAGACGGACTGCAGGACGATGGAGTCTTCGTAGATCTGGGTGGAGATGGGAGGGTGAGTGGGGCCCCTGGGGCTGGAGCCCGCCCGGCGGTGGGCCGTGTGTGCCAGCCTATCCCAGTGCTGGCCAGGAAGGCTGGGGACCAGGGCAGGTGGGTCAGCGTGGGAGCGGCTGCAGGTGACGCCCCCCTCGGGAGGACCCCACAGGGCAGGTCCTACGGGCTCTGAGAAGTCCTGCAGGAGGTCAGAAAGCCCCTTCCTGTGCCGCAGCCAGTAATTCACCCCAGTATTTCCCCTGAGCCCATCCATGGGGCCCCTTCCTGGGAGACGGCGCTCTCCAACACGCTTAGGAAAGCTCTGTTGGGCTGGGAAAGTCTATCTGGAAAGGGCCTATCCCCAGGAGCCGTTTCAAGAGAATCCCCTAGGTGGGACCCGCAGATGGCGTAATGGCTGTCACTAGACTCCCACGTAGTCGACCGTGGTTCGCCCGGGACCCAGTGGCTTAAACTCATGCCAGGTGTGTGTGCACTCATGCCCAAGATCCCGAGAGGAGAACAGAGGAGAAGGGATTGTGGCATGGCCATCTCCCCGGAGGGTGATTTCTCGCTTTCTATCTCTCTGTCTCTGTCTCTCTGGCGAGCACACGCACCTTCTAGCAAAAACCTCTCCAAAAACAAAAAACCCCCAAAAAAAAAAAAGGGGGGGGGGGCTAGCAAGTGGCATGGTGGTTAAAGGTGCTGGACTCCCACATGGCCGACCATGGTTCAAGTCTCAGACCTGGTGGATTGCTATCTCACGTACTCTCTGTCTCTCTCTGATCAAACTGGAAAATAATAATGATAATAATAAATAAAATAATTTAAAAAAAATCCAGAGACCAGCAGATGGCATAGTGGTCGCATAGCTGGACTTCCACCACAGTTGGAGGTCTGGACCAGGCAGCTTAAAAGTCATCCTGGGCATGTGTGCGTGCTTGCCGAGGATCCCAAGAGGAGAATGGAAAGAGACTGTGGCATGGCAGCCCCCCTGGGGGTGATTTCACACTTTCTGTCTCTGTCTCTCCAGCCAGTGTGTGCACCCTGTAGCAATGCTCTCTGAAAAAAAAAAAAAAAAAAAAAAACCCCCCAAAAAACAAAAAAACACCAGGACACGCACTGGGCTGTTCCGGCACACCGAGGGGATGGCTTTGCACTGCGGTGCTAGTCTTCTTTCTTCTTGAGAGATTTTTGCTACAGGATGCGTGTGCTCACCAACGAGTCAAGACAGAGACAGAAAGTGAGAAATAACCCCAAGAGAGAACGGGCACACCTAACCCCTTCTCCTCCACGCTCCTCTGGATTTTGGGCATGCGCACACACACACACACACCTGGCGCGAGTTTCAAGCTACGGAGACTTGAACTACAGTGGACATGTTGGCGTCCAGCACCTTAGCCACTAGCCGGCCTCCCTAGGGGGCTGGTCCTTATTTTCTGCAATAAGCGTGTATGCAGGGCCTTCGGAAGTGGGGAAAATGCAACCGAAGCATGACTTCACGCGAGCAAAAAGTACCCGCATGTCACTTTTCATAATCTGCGTCCCCGCCAACCGCTGGAGACCCTTCGCGCCGCTTTTGCGATAGGCACAATACCCTGTTGTTGGGAGTTATTTTAGCATGCACCCAATGAAAAGGGATCAAGGCTCGGTCCTGCCCTGCCCCGGTCCCGCCCTGCCCCGGCCTGCTCGGGGCAGCGCCGCCTCACCAGGGAGCCCTCCAGGTTGAAGGTCTGGGCGTTCTGGCATAAGAGCATGACGTCCTTCTCCAGGTCGTTGAGGCTGCGGTACTTATGGTTGCGGATGCGCTCCTGCGGGCAGGGGTGTGGAGGTTGACCCAGGCCCGTGGCCGGGAACCCTGGGCCCCGCCCCCAGCACAAGCCCCGCCCCCGCCGCTACCTTGATCTTCTTGAAGTCCACGGGCTTGCGGATAAGCTCATAGTACTCGGGCAGCTCCTTGCGCGACGGCAGCTGGATGAAGACCTCGCTGAGCTGCCGTCCACTGCTACTGCAAGGCAGGACACGGCCGTCACTCGAGGGTTCTCGGATGTGTGCCTTCTGGGGACTTCTAGAACATGCAGGCCTGCACGCGCAGAGCCCGGGGGGACTGCCTCCTGGCTCTGATCTCCCGGGGCACTTAGCTAACACCCTCGGCCCACGTGCAGGTGGGCTCCACAAATCCTGGTCGGGTACACAGATGGGCCCCTGGGGGCGTGCACACATCTCACTCCCGGGATTTCTGTCTTGCAACCTGCGACCTGGCTGGCCTGCTGCAGTGGCCCAGTTAGGGCTGGGCGGGACATGGGACTGGCCGTGCCATCCAGGCTCCCACACACTCCGGCTCTGTCCCGCCCTGTCCCGCAGCCCCAGGACCACCGTGTGGCCGCTCTCCCTGAACCTTCTGTCCGCGGTAGTTGGAGCCTCTCAGTCCTCGGCAGCTTTGTTAGTGCCGCCCCCCACCCCCCCCCCCCTGGGAAATTCTAGAGGGCAGATCAGCCCGCCCAAGTCTCTGCAGGCTCCAGATCTCCCGATGGCGTCAGGAGCAGGTCTGCCAGGTGCACCCCCGACACCCCTCAAGGCTGATCTGGGCGGCCTGTGGGTGCCCTTGGCATTTCTGTGCATCGGGAAGTCCTGGAAGAACGAGTCTAACCGACGGGGTTGGAACAGCCCCGGGCCTCTCCTGCCCCTGACCACGCCGTCTCCCCAACCCTGAGCTGGGTCGGGACTGGGCGGGACCTGCTTTATGCACACTGCGCTCTAATGTAGGTCCAGGTGGCACCGCCATTCGCCTGCCGGGAGACAGGTGGCAGCTGCAGGATGCCCGGTCTGGACGCAGCTCTGGCCACGTGGGCTGCCCAGCGCGGGAACAGGAGTGCCACCTCCCCTTTCCCCCCCAGGCTGCGTTCCTAGCGGTGACCTGGGCACTGCCGCCCCGTTGCCATCCTGGGCACTCCCTGCAGGTGCAGGCTTCCTGTCTCCCTCCACAAACACCAATGGACCCGGTCACAGCACGCCCTGGAAATAAGCCATGCACAAGACGCACCGCACCGGTAGGGGAACTGGCTACTGCCGCCGGGGGGCCAGGGCCCAGGCGCCCCGCCCAGACCACGCAGCCCACGCCCAGCAGGGGGCGCTCCTCCCTCGGACCAGCAACGCCACTCGGCATTGCGGACAGCGCTGCACAGCCAGAACCCCGCTTCACAGGCGACCCGGACACGCAGGCAGAGGGTGGTGCCTCTCTACCCCTCTTTAAGGAAATGGATAACAACATTTAATCTGACTATGATGCTGAAAGCTGGGACCCTTAGGAAAAGAGCAGGGGTTTGAGGCCATGAGGGTGGGGCCCCATAATTGAGGCTTGGTGGCTTAAATAAATAAATAAATA